CTGTTTCCATTTGCAGCTGCTGGCAGTGCCCCAGATCCTAAAACCATCAGCCCAGCAGATATGGAGAAGTGAACGAGTGAAGTTTTCTGATGCAATGAAAAGAGAAAAAGGTTGGACAGCTAGAGCCTTTTACCAGAATCTTCCCTAGATTAGGCTGACATTTGAAGCAATCTTGGCTCACAGCCACGTGGAGTAAAACCTCTACCAAGACTTCTTTCCTTCTTAAACATGAAAGTGCAAACTTTTCTCGACCATGGGCTTCCTTAATCATTTATGAAAACGTGTCAGCTGTCACTGCCTTCTTGTTCTAGCGCCTGGTGCCCTAGATCAGGGAGGCGGGGAGCTGCCTGTCCCAAAAGGGGTTGAAGAGAAAGGAGAGGCACTGGTTTATGAGAAGCCAACCTTTGCTTATAATTAATGCGTCACTTCCAGAGCCATCTGCTTTGTCTTCAAACACATCCATCATCTCCATAAGAATATAGATACATAGATTTAAAAATCAATTGAAAAAAGACTGGGTAAAGCTGGGCACCAGTGGCTCATGCCTATAATCCTAGCTACTCAGGAAGCTGAGCTCTGAGGATCAAGGTTCGAAGCCAGCCCAGGCAGAAATGTCTACAAAACTCTTATCTCCAGTTAACCAGCAAAAAGTTGAAATTGGAGATGTGGTTCAAGTGTCAGCCTTGAGCCAAAAAGCCAAGCAGGAGCATGAGGCCCCGAGTTCAAACCCCAGTACCAACACACATATAAAAGGAAAAAAAAAAAAGCTGTTTCAAATCAATTCACAGAAAGAACAGGGGGGGGGGGAGGAAACTCCCCAGACTTTCAGCCCATAGACCTTTTACATACCCTCTGTCCCTGGAAGAAAAGTTATGTCCTTTCTCTTGAAGTTTTTTATAGCATCCACTGTCATGATAAGCCCCCATAAATAGAAAAGGAACCCAGAAGCAAGTTGGGGACTGAGACATTTCTAGGAGTATTTTAACCACTCGGAGAAATATTGACCAGGAAGTCAGCAGGGATGCTATTGTAAAACTGGGCTGAGTCCTCAGGTTTGTGCACACTATCAATAGTCTGTGAGGCTGAACCAAAAAGGAATACATTTTATCGGATTGTGTGGGGTGCAGTCTGTCTATTTGCATTGAGTGGACTCCACAGGAAATCGGAGATGCAGGAATGTTAATTCCAGCAGCAGATGTAACACACAAACAAGCAGCAATCCCAAATTGGAAATTAATGCTGGTGGACCCTCTCTGTACCTGCGTTTTTCTCTCTGTTTGCTTGAGGTCCAAATCCTGGGGTTCTAGGGGTGCAGTTTCCACTGTGTATCACTTCCCAACAAATCATTTATAAGTTCCTAAAAAAGAAAAAAACGAAAAGACCCTGAGCCATGGAAGGAAAAGAATAAAAATATCCCACAGGTCACCAAAGCCTGTGTCCCCTGGAGCCCAGTTATTGCCCAAAATATATCTCTCAGTGCTTTGTTTGACCTAGTTTTAAATGTCATCCTCACCATCATCAACTCTTGTTTTTGCTCATGAGTGGCTTGCACACTTCCAGGTCTAGGAAAGACATCAAGGGCTTTAAGCACACAGCTTAGCATGGACTCTCCTTCCTCCCCCTACCCTTCTCCACTTGCTGAGATCTTTGCCTTTCCTTGGCCTTTGCTTGACATGAGCATGCACATTTAATCCTTACAATGTTCTGAGCAAGCCAACCTTTTGAAACCTCTCATTTTTCATTTTTATACCTTCAGCTTTGGCACTCCCAGAAATCCCTGGGTTATTTTGGCTCCTCTGAACTCTGCCCTCCTCTAACCACTGTCCTCCACCTCTCTGACAGAACCATCTGGAAAACAAGGCATTGTCTAAACTGTCTCCCTCCCCACCCCCTGATGCCCCAGGAACTGCTTTCCTTCTTTGCTGGTACCCCCATCCACCATCCCAACCCTTTGTCCCTGGTGCCTTGGTGACATACATTCTGAAGCTCACCGGGCATTTACTGCTCATAATTCTAACCTCCTGATGTCTCCTTGTATAGGCTTTTACACCCCTCCCCCAATTTAGTATCATCCTCAAATTCAATTAACATACTGTTGCCTCCTCGTTCCAGGCCATTAATGAAGATGCTACAGCAGTACCTGGCAAACCATATTTCAAGGTCATGAGGAGAGGAACACTGAACTGCTAATCTATCTACCTGATGTGGGGGAAGAGGCCATCAAGTGCCCACATGTGGTTTGAGCCATTTCCTCTGAGTTTTGTGAACTTCCCGTTCCCAAGCTTGAGTTGGGTTTTTACGCCTCCCCTCCCTCCACTTCAGAAACTGTAGATGGGTGGCAGTTCCCATTTGGAAAATGAAGAACATAGATTATGCCTTCCTTTTATTTTCATCCAGTTTCTTGCAGGGGAAACAGTCACTAATTGAGCATTTGTACAGACAGCCCATGTACCTGGTAAAGACAAAGTAGCCATTATTAGGCTTGTTATCCAGACTTCTCTCCATTTCAAAGGCAGAAACCATGACGGTAGAAAATATCTAGGCAATGAGGCCCAAGGCTTTTGGTAAAGGCAGGGGAGGCTGAAGTCATATCCCCCTGTGAGCCAGTTTCTAGATGGCTGAGCCATGAGATGTCAGCCCTGCAGGGTAGGAGGGCAGGCTGCTTCACCCCACCAGCTGTGCTGCTAGCACAGTGTCCTAGAAAGCAACCCAGGCCCCCACTGACCTACAAGCCTTGCCTTCTTCACAATGATGAGCTCCTCATGAACCCCAGCTTTCCTGCCTTCTGCACCAAATTGCTGGTATCATATTGTAATGCTGTAGATTACTTGGATCAAAAATACTGAATCACCTGGCACTGGTGACTCTTGCCTGTAACTCTAGCTCCTCAGGAGGCTGAGATCTGAGGATCCAGGTTCGAAACTAACCCCAGGCAGGAAAGTCCATTAGACTGTTATCTCTAATCAACCACACAAAAGCAGGAGGATCAAGTGATAGAATGCTAGATTTGAGCAAAACAAAACAACACTAAAGGGGAGCATCCAGAAGATTGACACTGTTTTATCAATTTTTTCCAGTTTGTCCCTGCTCCCCTATCCTTCACTGCAGGCCTGTCTCCAGCTCCTATTCATTTCTTACAGTATCTGGAAGGCATCGCTAGATGGGCCCAGTAGAGGCAAAGCCCTGATATAAGAGATCTCAAAGACAGTCCCAGCCCTGGGCTCCATGGACAGGCTTGGCTGACTAAATTTTTTTGTTTGCTTAGTATTAGGTTTAACTCTGGTCCTTACTCGAGCCACCCACCCAGCCCTTTTTACTTCAACTTATTTTTCAGATAGGGTCTTGCAATTTTCCCTAGGGCCAACCTCAGACAGAGATCTTCCTCTGCCTCTGCTAGAATTATAAACATGCACCACCACACCACACCCCTTTGATTACTTTCTTTTCTGAGAGGATTTATGGGGGAGATGGAACAGAAGGTATCCCTCTAATGCAGTGCTCTGGCAGACAGTCTGAGAACCCATCATGGGAAGAGTTGGCCTGGAGATACTCAGCAACATCATATATTGAAGAAACAAGAAAGAAAAGACCGGGCTGGGAAGGTGGCTCACTGGTAGAGCGCTTGCCTTGCATGCATGAGGCCCTGGGTTCGATTCCTCAGCACCACATAAGCAAAAGGAAAAAAGCCAGAAGTGGTGCTGTGGCTCAAGTGGTATAGTGCTAGCCTTGAGCTGAGGGACAGCGCCCAGGCCCAGAGTTCAGGCCCCATGACCGGAACCCCCCCCAAAAAAAAGAAAGAAAGAAAGGACCATCATTAAAATGATTGTTGGAGCAGCACTGAATTTGAAAGTGTTCTGCAAAGGGCAGGGCTGGCTTTCCCCAAGTCCTGTCTGTCGCTCACAGAAGAGACCTTATAGGACAGGCCTGGCAGCTCTGGCATTGCTGCCCTGCCCATGGTTTCCACGTGCCTTAAGAATCCAGGCTCCCCACCCACAGCCCCCAAAGGTGTGACTAAAGGTTAATGGGTCCCAAGGAGGAAGGGAAGTATATAAGGGCCAGGGGAGGACAATCAGACAGCATCCTCTTGGCCCGCTCAGACCAGAGGCTCACAGCTCATGTAAGTAGTTGCCTGAAGGGCAGGGGACAGATGGACTGCTCAGCGTGTACCCTAAGGCAGTGCAGGATTCCAGCTGAAACTAGCCCTGTCCAGAGCCCTCTGGGGACGCCAGCCATCCCTGCCACTCTGCTCCTTCCACCCCCCAGCTGGGCCACAGACCAGGAGCCCTGAGAAGATTCCTGGGGGATGGGGGGCGGTAATTATGTGTGTGCATGAGAGGCAGGAGAGAAGCAGGTGGGTGCTATTCCGGGGAGAGCAGGGGCTGTTTGGAGGTGATCAGCACATCTCCAGCAGGCCAGGAGCCCCACTTGGCATGGTGGCTGAGTTTCAGAGTCATGCATAAACTGGTCATAAGGGAAGGGAGGTCCTTGCCCCCAAACCTGGCACCTCTGCTGGAGTGGGAGGGCACAAGGGCCCTCATCCGGAGCTGGGCACTCGAGTCCCCGGTGGTAGAGCCAGCACCTCATTGTGCTAAGCTCCCACTCCTAGCTTCGCCAGAACACAGCGAATGCAGTGACATGCCGACTGCCAGTTGGATCAAGAAAATGAGCAGCAATTGGATTTTGCCTTTTTTATTTAAAGTTTTTATTGATTCTTATGGAGCGAATTAAACTCGAACATTGGAAAGGAAAGGGATCTAAGCCATCTCTGTGAAGGAAATGGGACGCCATAAATGTGACACATTTGTCACCGCTAGGAGGGAGAACAGGGCTCAGGGACTTTATAGGGGAAGAGAAAAGCAGGAAGAGGGAGAAACAGGATGGGGCCTGTGTACTCTCCCCCTGCACAGTTCGCACTCCTGGGGCTCTGTTCTCACTCCAGTCTCCTCTGGGTGACCTTTGAGTGTCTGGTGGCCCTTTCAGTCACCTGAGCGTTGCATGTAGTTGGAATGAAGACTGGCTGTACCCAATCTCATGTTCTGGATCCTGGAATTTGAGCAAACTGGAGAAAGTAAGCAGAAGGAGGGAAGGAAGAGAGGGAGGGAAGAGAGAGAGAGAAAAGCAGAGCAAGAAGTGTAGGGAGTCCAGCTTGGATGCTGAGTTTTCCATGTCTGAGGGGACAGGTGTCGGCGGGGAGGCAGGATGCAAGTCAGACCCTCTCCAAAAGTAATCTAAGGTGGAAAGACAAGCTTGGAGGCCAGCCTATCCAGAGCAGGCCCTCTTTACCCGTGGAATCCAAGCTGGATTCACCCCCTCACCCACCACACCATGGCTAACCTGCCTTGGGCTCCCTTCCCTACTCCGGAGGCTACATCCCTGCCCTCAGCAGTGCATTGAGTACAGAGAGGTGGTACTCAGGTTGTATTCAATTTAGTCTCATCCCATGACACCTCATCCCTTCTCTGTGGGCAGAGGAACTCCTCCCTCCCCCTCCCCAGATCCCTGCAGCCATCATATGTTCCCTGCTCCTATCCTCCTGCCCTTCCACACATGCCCACTTCCTGACATAGGAGAGACCCGCCAGGACTCACAATGTCCTCGGGTGTCACCGAGTCCTGGAGCCTGCAGGAGAAGGCCCCGGCCCTGTTATTTCTGGATGGTAGCCAACCAATAGCTGAACACATTGGAGCTGGGAAGGTGCTCATCCAGTAGGGTGGGAGCCCTACTTTTGACTCTTGGATGCAAGGTTTTTACCACCTGGCTCTTCTCCCCCCACCCCAACCCTCCCCCCCCCAAACGATTCTCAGCCTTTTCCTCTTCAGATCAGAGGGCTGGGCTCCAGAGAGAGGGGGTGAGTGTTTGTGAGTCTATTCTTTTTGTCATCCAAACCAGCAACACCAGGAAAAGGAGAAGGGCTACCTGGCTTCTGCTGATAATCTAGGAGTTCTTTCTCTGGGCAGTGAAGTCTCTCCTGCTTCCTGAGGGGCCTTGCTAGTACCAGAAGACCTTACATAACAAAGAGCAGGGCCATCAAGCAGAATGACTCTTGTATGTTGTGGTAGAGGCTGGGTACCCTTTACCAAGAGCTTGGTCAGCTGCCACTGCTCTGGGACAGACCAAGTGTTGGAAGCTCGTCAGAAAACCCTGATATAGCTGGGCACCGGCTTACGCCTGTAATCCTAGCTACTCAGGAGGTTGAGATCTGAGGATTGCAGGTCAAAGCCAGCCCGGGCAGGAAAGTCATTGAGACTCTTTTTTTTTGGGTGGGGGGTCGGTCGTGGGGCTTGAACTCTGAGCTTGGGCACTGTCCTGCGCTCTTCAGCTCAAGGTGAGCACTCTACCGTTTGAGCCACAGCGCCACTTCCGGCTTTCTAGTGGTTTATTGGAGATAAGAGTTTCATGGACTTTCCTGCTTGGGCTGGCTTTGAACCACGATCCTCAGATTTCAGCCTCCTGAGTAGCTAGGATTACATGCGTGAGCTACCAGCGCCCAGCAGTCATTGAGACTCTTATTTTCAATAAGCCACTGGAAAACCAGAAGTGGCGCTGTGGCTCAAGCGGTAGAGCACTAGTCTTGAGCATTAAAGCTAAGGAACAATGCCAAGGCATTGATTTCAAGCCCCAGAACTGGCACAAAAAGAAAACGCTGTTTCAAATCCCCAGTGCACAGAAGCCAAGCCTTTGCTCACTCGGGATCACAAGCTGCAGGTAGGGCATGGATGGACCACATCGTGGGGCCCACCTTCCATGTAGGAATCTGTCACAGTGTCTTAAACTTGGTGACAGGAGCCCCTGGTTATTCTCCAGTTCCAGGATGGTGTCCTGCAAGGCCATGGCCATTCTGCTAGTGGTGCACACAGCCACCATGCTGGCTTCTCAAACGGAAGCCTTTGTTCCCATCTTCACCTACAGCGAACTCCAGAAAATGCAGGTAAGAAACCCTGCTGCCTACCTGGCTACATGGCTGCTACCTGGCCTGAAGATGGCTGGTCTCTTCGAAGCACAAGCTGTGTGTGTGTGTGTGTGTGTGTGTGTGTGTGTGTGTGTGTGTGTGTGTACTAGGGCTTAAACTCAGGGCTTGGGCACCATCCCTTAGCTTTTTTACTCAAGATTGACCCTTTACTACTTGAGCCACACCTCTGCCTCTGGCTTTCTGTTGCACTTTCCCTTCCTGGCTGGTTTTGAACCAGGATCCTCAGATCTCAGCTCCCGAATAGCTAGAATTACAGGCGTGAGCCACCGCCACTGGCACCCAGCTAGAAGCCTTTCTTTGGTAGACTCCTGTGTGATGACCGTGCCAGGGCCACCTGTAGGAAAGTGCCCAGAAAGTGCCAGCTGTCCACCCTATCCCTGCCAGCATCACCAAGAGATGTCAGTGGCTCACAGGAGTGACATCTTTTCCCACCCTGCTCATCTTTCTGGGGAAGTTTTCAATCAATAAGCTGATAAATATTTACTGGGCTTCTCTGTGGTGCCAAGCTCCTGTCTTTAAGGAGCTGACTAGAAGCTCCAGCACCAACATATGAAAAATTAACTAATAATCGAAGACAAAAGAGAGATGTCACAAGGCAGGACATGATTAATTGTCCCATAAGGGATGCTAGTGCTAAGTGATGGGGTTCAGAAGAGGGAGAAATCCCTGTGGCTGCCAGGGAGGGTGAGGTAAGAGCCAGAGCAGAGCCTTCCCAGCTAAGGATGGGCATGAGCCACCGTCCAGAGGTGGGAGCAAAGCCTGCTATCCACGTGGGGGTAGCATACCCTTCCGCGTGGACCCTAGAGAAAACAAGGCCGCCCCAAATGGGACTGAGGTAGCAGAAACTAAGGAAAACTGCCTTTTAGCTGAGTGCCAGTGGCTCATGCCTGTAATCCTAGCTACTCAGGAGGCTGATATTGGAGAATCACGATTTGAGGCCAACCCAGGCAGGAAAGTCCATGAGACTCTGAGACTCCTATCTCCAATTAATCACCAAAAGGCCAAAAGTGGAGCTGTGGCTCAACTGGCAAGGGCCAGACTTGAGCAATAAAGCTAAAAGACAGCCCCCAGAGGCGGAATTCAAGCCCCAGTACCAGCACAAAAGAAAAAAAAATGGTTTCTCAATATCTTAGACTTCTGAGGATTCTGTTGGCTGTGCAGACATTTGGGCCCCTTTAAGCAAGGAGAGGAAGATAGGGAACTTCTATATCCCACCCAGCCTGAGACTCCACAGGAACCGGCACGTGAGTTCCCGGTCCTGTGCCTCTGTGGCACAGCTGGTCCTTGTCTCCACTTAGTATAGGACAGATCTCCATGCTCCCTGCTGAGTGCAGAAAGTCCTCCAGGACACATGCACATGTATGTGCACACACACACACACGGGCAGGCACACACCTGCACGCACACACGTACCTTCCTCCCACTGATTGTTCTAAATTCACATCATCACACCTCAAGGGAGTCCCACAGCAGGATTCTAGGCCTGCCATTAGAGACACCAACACAGCAGGGTACGCCTGAGCGCAGGGCTGACAAGCCAGTGTGCAGCATGCCAGGTAAGATTTGGAGCCGGACAAAAAGGGTCAAACTCAGATTGAGCACAAGCCAGCAAAAGACAACCCAAAGACACGTTGCATTAATCTGCGCTGTGGTTTTCTTCCCGGTAATTGCCAGGAGCCAGGATTTTTATGAAGAAGCTCCAAGCTCCTTCCTCCATAACTCATCTCCCTGTCTCTCCTCTTATAAATCACCTCCCAGGGACTCTGAGTTGCAGGCCACCCCGTGGTGCCCTCTCGGGTGGGGCTGTCTCACGTTATCTTTTTTTATAGGCTCTCTGCTAAGAGAGCTACATTTTCACACTTAATATGCATGAAGGACAGCCATTATTCTCAGCGTTTTAACTTAATTAACAGTAACAATCTGGGTGCAAATTTTTAAGCACAAATAAATGAGCTCTTCTTCATAATGGTCTGTTGAAGGGTGACTCCAAGATCATCCTCAAGCCACTGGGCACCTGAGACTCTCTTGTTGCAGTGGGGGGTTGGGAGAGATACCTGGGGAAGAGAGATTTCTTGATTCTGGGGAGCCAGGGAGCACCCAGGCAGTTTGAGACAGGAGAGGACTCTGAGCTGACTGAAGAAGGCAGTGTGTGTGTGTGTGTGTGTGTGTGTGTGTGTGTGTGTGTGTGTATGCGCGCGCGCTCGCATGCGCATGCACATGAGCACACATGCCAGTACTGAGGCTTGAACTCAGGGCCTGTGTGCTGTCCCTGAGCTTTTGTGCTTGAGGCTAGCACTCTACCACTTGAGCCTCAGCTCCACTTCCTACTAGGTGGTCAATTAGAACGAAGAGTCTCATGGACTTTCCTGTCTGAGCTGGGTTAGAACTGTGATCCTCAGATCTCAGCCTCCTGAATAGCCAGGATTACAGCCACTGATGCCTGGCTAGGTGCCAGTTTTGTGCAACACAGTGCTCTGATCCTAGGAAAGGGAACGGAGCAAAGGGCAAAAGAAATCCCTGAACCTCCAGCAAAGGTCTGAGGAAGAAGAGGCCAGTGAGGAAGAAGAAAACTTCACAATCCAGGTGAGTTGGGGTGATGGAAAGAACCTTAGCATGGACATGGTTCCCTAACCTGAGGAGAAGGGAGGGCATAGAATGTTCCAGAATAGAGCAGTGAGCAAGGCATACAGCAAGAGGGCCATCCTGGGAGGGGATGGACTCCAGCAATGAAAGCAAACACTTGTTTTAAGCACCAAAGAAGTGAAGAAGGTAGAGTGACTAGAGTGGTCTGGGCACTGCTTGTCCAGGGAAGCCAGGGAAAGGCTTCCTGGAGGAGGCAGCACCTGAACGGAGTGAAGCCTAGGAGCCTCCAGGCATTGCTGCTGTTCCCCAGAGAACAGCTAAAGCAAAAATACCTGCCCAGGAGCCCCAGGAACAGGCCTGGTAGGGATGCTGAGAGAGGACTAGAGGCCGGCAGGGCCTGGTGTGCCAGGCTTGATGTCTGGGAGGACACAGAAGCTTCAAAGCCAGTGAGTCACCTGATGTGACTTGGAAAGATCTAGGGCAGCACAAACAGAGGCAGGAGATAGTCAGGAAGCAGCTGTGAGGGCCAAGGCACTAGGGTCTCCCTCTCCTGGGCAGGAACCCTGCATGGCTATGGCTCTCAGCACTGAGTTAGGATGTACAGATTGCCTACCGGGAGAGAGCTTGGATCCTGGGCTGCTTCTAGCTTCACCAACTCCTTCGCTCCTGCAGTGAATGACCCAGTCTCTATAGGTGTGAGGTACTGGGGACAGAGTAGGGAACAAAACAGACAAAAATCCAGATACACACACACTAAGGAGAGGCAGAAACAAGATACAGGAAGGACCTGGAACAAACAAGGAAAATGATCAAACCCTACAGCATGGCAAATAGGGATGGGTGTCATGGAGGAAAATTAAGCAAGGCAAGATGAGGCAGGTTTGATCTAAAATAGGGGAAACATCACACGTTTCATGAATAGATGGCATTAAGAGCAAAGACCTGAAGAGAGCAAGGGAGTAAATCATAGCAGTTTCTGGGAAGAGAAGTCCAGGCAGAAGTAATAGCCCATGCAAAGTCCCTGAGGCAGCCTCCCAATGGTCTTCTTAATTCTACCTTTAACCTTTCAGTCCGTTCTTGACCTGGCAACACCTATCCTCTGGAGAGGCTGGAGAGAGACTAGAGGTGTCTATGGGGGTGGGGGAAGGGAGACAGACACAGAGACAGAGAGGCATTTAGCCTAGAGTGATCATAGTTGAGGCAGGGCAAAGTGATTGGATTTTGAAAATAGTTTGGAGATAAACACCCGCAGGATTTTCTAGAAGAATGGATATAGTATGTGAAGAAAGAAAAATATAAAAATCTGACTTCAAAGCTTATGGCCAGAGCATCTGGCAGGGCAAATATGCCACCAACTAACAGTGACACCTAGGTTGGCTGCTCAGGGGCTACAGGACCAGCAGGAGATCAGGCAGGCTGTGGGACCTGCGTGAAGCTGTTAGCATCCAGGCAGAGAGAAAGGACAAAGCCAAGTGGAAATCTGAGTATGCAGTTCAAGGCTAGGACGTGAATGGAGAATTGAGGACAGGCCTGGGTGTGTTCCCAGTAGCTAGCTGGGCAGAGGAGAGGAGAGGCCCCAGTATGAGTTGGGCACTTCCACATTAAGGCGTGGGAGGTGATACCCAGGGACAGCAAAGGTCTTGCCAAAGCCACTCAGCAGTCAGGGCAGAAGCAAGCCCCACTCCTCATTTCCTGCCTCCTGCTGGACTCTCGGGCTGATGTCTCTTCAGTTCTGTCAGGTGTAGCCCCAAGAGTGGCCAAACTGTCACCACACTCAGTGGAATGGGGCTCTTTCCCTCACACCTTGCCTGAGAGAGAGCTGGAGGTGAGTCTGCCTCTCAGTCCAGCCTGATCTTCACCTGGAACAGCACTGGCAGTCAGGGGGCACACAGCCGCAGGTTCTTTCTGGAGAGGTCAGGGGGTAGAGGCTTTGTGTCCCTTTGCATTTCCTTATTATGATTGGACAGGACTGGGAGGTCCTCCCTGGACTAATCTCCAGCCCCCTCACTTTAGAGTGGGGACACTGAGACCTGAGAGAGGCAGAGCCATAGCCAGGCCACGGGGATGGCACAGGCAGGACTCAAATGAGCCCCACAGAGACCTCCTTCAGGCACCTCAGGCCACCCTGAGGCAGAGACAGTATGTCCAGACATTCTCACACCAAGCACCTGGTGTTAAGTGCGGGGGGCGGGGGGCAGGCTCTGGGGAGAGCAGGGAACTCCTTCCCCACCAGAACAGGTGCATGCAGTAAGACCTTTGACCCAGGACAAGCTGGTGTGAGGGTAAGGTGGGTAAGCACCCTCCAAGACCCCAAACATCCCTCTTGGTCGACAGCCATCAATTTCTATAGGTCTCCTGTATCACCATATATGAAAGGATCGTGATGGGTCTTGGGCCCCACATATGAAAAGACAGATATATATTGGCCCCAGACCCCTGGAGCCAGGCCTCTGCATGTAACTATTCTTCCTGGGTTGTTTACTACTCGTGAACAAGTTGGTCAGCTTCCTTTTGCTCAGTTTCCACACTGAAGCTCTTGCCACATAGGTAAGAAGTTTAATGTAGACCAGGCACTCAGAACACATGGACACGTGGTGGGGACCCAGGAAGTTAGCGATCGTTGTGGGGGGGGGGTGAGAATTCCTGCACCCAGGAGAAGTCTACTAGGTTCCTGGGCACTCTCTTGGTGTCAGAACTCCCAGCAGAGCCCTAGAGGCCCAGAGGAGGAGGGAGGGAGAGAGCTGAGGAGGAAGGAAAGGAGGAGGATAGAGAAGGGGAGAGGAAGGGAAAGACCAGGGAGGAAAGGGAAGGGCAGGGGAGGAAGAAGAAGGGGAAGGGGCATGGGAGGAAGGAAAGGGGGCAGGGGGAGTGTGGGGCTGCTGTTCGCAGACTCCCATCCACCTGTAGGGCACCCAGGGGTTAAGGCCCTCTCTGCACCTCTCCCTTCGGTTAACTCTGCCTTATTTCACAGCTGACTGCTCCTGTGGAAATTGGAATGAGGATGAACTCCAGGCAGCTGGAAAAGTACCGAACGGCCCTGGAAGGGCTGTGGAGGGAGGCGCTGCCGCCCACCCAGCCCAGTAAGCTCCGCACCCGCCCCTCGCTGCTGGGGGAGGGCATCTCCATGGCTCAGGCCTCTGTCCACCCTGGTGTTAATATTCTAAGAAGCATCTGAGCAGGATTTGAGTCAGGTGGTTTTTTTTGTTTTGTTTTTATGGGGTTTTTTTGGGGCTTTGTACTCAGAACCTTCGGTTTCCGCTGCTGGCCTGAGCACAGAGGGGGCAGGGCTGGGGCTCTGAAGTCTACTGCATTGTCTTTGCCTTCCTCTCCTCAAAGTCCTTCCAGTTTATCAGCCCCCTAGAGACCCCTGCTCCTTCCCAGATAATACAAGAGGCTGGGGAAGAAAACCCCTTGCTTCAGCTTTTTTACTTTTTTTTTTTCATTGTGTATTTCTGCAGCCTTTTTGGGCTTGCCCAGTTCAAGGTCTGCCCAAGTTGCTTGAGCAAAGCTAGATCTTGTCTGACAAACAGCCGCTAATTACCTCTCCCAGTCCCTCCAGGAGCAGCAGAGATGGAGGAGGTGGTGTTAGAGTTGGAGAAACTAGGAGGTTAAATGACTTGCCCCTGGCAAAACTCAGCCCAGCTCCCTCCTCCCCTCATCAGCAAGCAGGTTTAGAAGGCCATTTCCTAAGCAGATCTGCCAGCACCAGATCTGCAAAAACTCGTGGTGTTTTTCCTCCAGCAGGGGAGTGAAGAAGGCTCCAGAGATAAGGTGGACTCTCCCTGGGAACCCTGCCCACCTGAGCCTGGCCTTCCAGACCCCTGTAACCATCAGCTGCTCTGGGACGCAGAACCCCTCTCCAAAGCAGATCCCTTCTCCAGCAAATAAAGCATGACCTATACAGGGACGCCTCTTTTATTTAATATTCTAGTTTCTAAAAGGCCAACTCAGATCACAAGGAAGCAGAGGGGAAGCTCAGAGGGGCGTGGCCACACATTAGCAAAAGTGCCCAGTGCAAGAATCAGGTTAGGTCTGGGGCAGGAGAGGAAGCACCTTTCCATTTCAGAAGAGGAAACTGAGGCACAGAGAGACCGCATTTTTGGGAGAGAGACTGGAATCCTGGTCTGAATCCTACTCCATTTTTCTATTTACTGATGAGCTCGAGGTCTAATGGTCTACAGGATTTTAAGGCCTCTGCATTCAACCCCTTGCTGAGTAACTTCTAACCAGCCCTTTAGCCTCAATGAGCCTTTGCAAAAGCAAGGTGGTGATATCTGCCTTGAGAGCGGAGGGCAGAGGCGCCACCAAAGAGCAAATGACTGTTATTATTACCACCTTGTGGCTGCAAGCTCTAGCATCCGCAGCAAAATTGCACAGCCAACCCACTTATTTCTGCCTTCTAAACAAAACTGGATGGGAAGTTTCTCTTTAATTTAATTTCCCATTAATGAATGTTCATTTATTTATAAACTTGGGCCATATAGAAATCACTGCTCCCTCCATCCATAGGTTACCGGGAATTGGACACCATGTACCCTCTGTATCCTCTGTATTGCTACCTGCCCACCTGCTGTGAGAGAGGGCTTACACACCAAGAGTAGTCACCAATTGGAAGGACCCCAACTGCCAAAAAGCATTCCTGTTTGGAGTGCTCTGAAATCCCCAAAGGCCACTCAAGCCTTTCATAGGACCAGCCAGAGCCCTGCTACATTCCCACACATTTCTGGTTCACACTCTGACCAACCCCAGAGGTATAGCAAGTTCCTAGACAATACCACCACTAGTCGGGAGGCAGAAGGTCAGGCAGGGCAAAATGAAGCCAGCACTGCAGGTACACATGGAAGAGATGCATCTAGACTCCTGAACACCCTTCCCAGCTCCCCCAGACACAGCTCCCCTATTACCTGGCACATATTCTGTGAAGCAGAAAAACAAGAGGGAAACAGTTTTTGTTTTTGTGTTTCCCTAACTTTTAAAGTTATCTTTAAGTGCTTGTACAAAGGAGTTTCAATTCAACATGTCAGTTTATGAGTACATCTTGGTCATTGTCACTGAAGAGGGACATTGCTTCTATCCTTCCTTCATTCCTGATGAGATCATCTTCCCTCATCACCGAGAATGACCATTTCTGGGGTACTGAGCTGCTACCCTTTGGGGAATTTTTTTAAGATCCCAGGGGTTGGAGGACAGGGTTGGAATAGGTGGTAACAAGAGAAATAGGATTCCCTAAGTGACTTCACCCCAACAGGTCTACGTCCATCTGTCTGTCTGTCCATCTGTCCATCCACTTGTCCTTCTGTACATCCATCCATACATCCAACTATCCAGCCAGCCATCCAGTCAGTACTAGGGTTTGAATTCAGGTCCTCCAGCCTGCTAGATAGGTGCTCTACCACTTGAGCCATTTTTGCTTTATATTTTTCAGGTAGAATCTTGCTTTTTCCCAGGTTAGTCTTGGATGGCAATAGTTTTTCCCATGCCTTTTGTGTAGCTGGGATTATAGAAGCAAGCCACCATGCCTGGTTAGTTCACATTTTTTAACTAGGAATAGGTTTTTCAAGCACAACCCTTGGGAAAGGTATAGTGAACTGTCTTTCCTGCAGAAAAACACTGTTCAGTGCTCAGTGCTGCAGCCCAGCTGTCCCAACCCTCACCCTATGACCTCCGATATGCTTCTGTGTAATGAGCTGCAACAGGGACCCAGCTACCACATCTGTATTCACAGTGCCCACCACCGGCGCTTAGAAGTGTCGGCTCCTTTCTTCTCTGGTTTTCCTTTCCTGCCACTGTTTGATTGCTACCATCAGCTCGAATAATTCTGTTTTGCCAAGGAGTGCCTCTAGTTTCCAGGACAGCAGACTTGATTGCTTACAGGACATGCTCAGCGCTAGAAGAAATTAAAATTAGTGGGAGATGGGAGGGAAGTAGGATTCTGTGAGCTGAACCAAGAGAAAATGACCATGTTTTCACAAAACAAGGAAGAGGGTCTTGGTTAAAGCTATAGAATATATGAGCCACAAATCAGCCAGGGTCAGAGACAGGAGAGTACCCAGGTCAACCAGCAGAACAGAGCACCACCTTTCCTGTCCCCCATCCCTTCCTCTGTTTGTTTCCCAGAGGTTTACCCAGAATAATATGCTAGAACATCTGTGAGAGTGGAGAGGTAGAGATGGGCCCTGGGATGATCTGGAATATGCTTTTCATTTAGCAGTAACAGGGCAACCTGACGCTAACTTCATGAGATGGAGACGAGGAGGTATTTTCTCAGTAACCACATTGGTGTGATTCCATAATTACTGAACTACATGGATTTGCCATGAAATTGAATAGTTAAAAGCAGAGTAATTGCCTGATATCTGTACTCTGTAATTTAGTATAATCTAATCATGGACAAAGCCCAAAAGAAAATGTTCTGAAAGCATTGCATTTTTCTTCATACACAATTTGTTATTGACATTGGGTAATGTATTCCATGCCTCTAAAGGAACTCTTACCCAAAGGGCAAGCTTGGCCAAAAAGCGTTTCCTTTCATTTTCAACAGGCTGTTAGAAGGAGATGGCAGAACTGCCCATCAAACCTGATCTAGCACTTTTTTGTGACTCTATTTCCCCCTCATCACCCACCCCTAGACACAGCAAAACCAGATGAGAAGACAAAAATCTGAGACTTAAGTAACACCCACTTTTCAACCTCAAGGTCCAGTGTCCCCCAGGAAGATGTCATGGCACTGTGGTTAGAAACAAGGCCAGAACAGCTGAGGATCAAGGACGAATTTGCAATCCCCAGGCATCTTGGAGACCTGATAAATGTATGCAGGGCTTTCTGCAGGATGAAGGAGAATGATACCCACTAAAATATTTATGGTCCCTATTATTTTGGGGCTCTGCTGGGGCAAAGAGAGGTCAGTAGGAGAGGAGGTGGTGTGGTGGCCTCAGAGAATTCAGAGGGTGCTCCATGCAACTCCTGCCTTTGCTAAATGTGTGGATGTGGTTACTAAGTACATGTAGATGCTGTGGCTTGTCTTTCCTGGTTGCATTTAATAAATCAGGAAGACCAACCACAGCCTGAGCTGGCCACCTTTAAAAAAACCACACAAAGTAATGGGAAGAAGGCCTCTCAGGGCAGCTGACAACCTCACAGTATTTCCCTTTTCTTAAAAAAGATGCCTTCCATTCCTGACAGGCCCTGAAGCAGAGCCACTGGGAGACACAGAGGCAGATTACCACCGAGAAGCCACACAGCCTAGGCGGCAGCTCCTGACAAGATGGGGGACAGTGGTGACCGAGCAGCGCTAAGTGGCTGCCACAGACTCACCACACTGAACTGGGTAAAAGGGTGTTGAGGGCAGAGAATGTCAGGGACTAAATCCAGAGGCTGAATATGAGCAAGTATTGAAGTTCAAAGCCCACCCAGGCAGGAAGGTCTGTGAGACTCTTACCTCCAATCAACATCTAAAAGACAGAAGTCAAGCTGTGGCTCAAGTGGTACAGCACTAGTCTTCCTTTGCTGAAAAGCTAAGGAACAGCATTCAGTCCCAGTATCAGCACAAAAGTAAACAAACAAACAAATACTGGGAAGGAGCAGGAAGGGAGCCAGTAATTTAGGACAGAAAGTGGGAAGACTGAGAGGGAGAGACCACAGTGGGACCTGAGAAGAGTCGGAGGGGAGCTCATAAGCAGACCCAGTATGAGGAGTGGTTGGGAACTGGATATCCACAGATGCTGATCAAGGCTGTTAGACCCAGAAGACAACAAGGCCACTAGCTGCCAGAAGTCCATGTGGAAAGGAAGGGTGGCCCTGGGTTGCAAAGAGCCACTACCACCAACATACTGGGTCTTAGACTGGAGATTTTCAAGAAAGTTCAGGGAAGGTCTGAGGGCTAGCTGACCCTGGGTGTACAGGTAGCAGCAGCAGTGTCCTCCACACTGGAAGGCTGATAGAGCTCCCAATGAGTACCACTGTTGCACTAAGTTCCACTGCTGGGGGTGGCTCTAGTTCCCTCCATATTTTTCAAGTGCCCTGAGATCCATTGTGATGAAATAGACTATCCGTCTGCAGAACATTGCACCGTTCACTTCATTTAAGCATCCGTTTCAAGCCCTCTTAGAATATACCGGGCTGGTATTGATGCCGAAAGACTCATTCTTTATATATTGAACTGCACAGCTGCAAGGAGTTGCACAAATGTTACCAACTCATTTGTCATGCAAACAGTGCTTCAGAAAGAAATAAAATACTATTATGTGGTATATGTGTTAGGCAATCACTATATCAAATCCATGGCATTCGATGCAAACACAGGCAGAGAAAAGGAAAACAACACTTGGTGAGAGAAATCACACCACATGGGAGCAGCTAAGTCAGGGAGAAGGCGAGGCTGACAATGGAAGCCTGATCGAGCAGAGGCTGTAATTTTCCCAGCAATGAGGCCAGCATTGGATACCCCTGAGGTAGAGCAAGTGGCAGGAATGCAAAACTCTGACAGCGGAATATGGCCCAGGGTTCCCAGAGAGGGGAGAGACAGATGTGGAGGTCAGCAATGGGACTTCTAGGTAAAACTACAGGGAAGAGGGGGCTCTGAGAGAAGGAGGACTTAAGGAGGGCTGTGATAGAAATACTAGGTTGGTAATAAATGTTTCAAAAAGGGAGTTGATGAAGGATGTGAAAGGAATAGAAGAGGTAAAGCAATAATCTACAACTCTATTTCCGTTTGCTACAGCTCCCCTTGCTTCCCTTAGGGGGTTCCTGCTAGGAGCCTTCATGTAACCAAATCACCTACCCAATGGGAGGCTCTGCACCAGCACTGGTAGCAAAGATTTGAGTTAAG